TCTAGGATTACTGAGAGTGGCACTTCAGATGGAAACTTCAACTTCCAGCCTACCAGTGATTAATATTCCTCTTACAAGAAAAAGAAATCTTTCTAGTGTATTTTAACCCTGCTTATTTAACAAATTCCAGATGTAAAAACAAAGCTACCCTAAATATTAGCCAATTACAGGTCAAATTTAAAAAAACTCTTATTTATTCAAGCTTACATCTGAGCTTAAAGGGAAGAATATCTAAACACACAAAAAATTTGGGAATGTATTCTTAGACCAAGGTAGACCTTTGTCTTCAGGTGAATGGTCATTGGCAAAAACTTTGCTAGGGCCTTACTCCTGTGTACCCATAAAGCCCTGTCCACTCCGTAAGGCTCCGGATTTTTGGAAGCTGTAAGGAGATCAAAGAGAAAGAGGGGAGGACCGGTGTCCTGCACTGTTCAAGACATGGAATTTACAGGTACATCAAAATTCCAGTAATCATACAGCACAGGAATTGATTCTTAAATTATTGCTTGGGAACATCCAATGATCTAAGGGGTGGTTAACAAAACAGGAACAGGCCCAAACAAGGTGGTGGCAGGCAAGGGTTGGATGACTGAGTGGGCAAGAGGAACAAATCAAAGGCACTTTTTCAGCAGGAGTAGCAGTGGGGAGATTTTTCCTGGAAGCTGAATGGCGGGGAAAAAAAAAAAAAAAAAAAAAGAGAATGTGGCACTCCACCCAACAGATAATTTAAGCGCTCAGTACCACAAACTTAATCCCTTTCACAGCAAAACCAGTGGAAACAGGCACCCAACAGCCTTAATTTAGGTAGTTCAAGGTGCTCCTCACCTCTCCACTCTTCCGCATTTGGATACTCTTACCTTACTTTTTGAAAGGTTTCTAATCTTTTTAGTGCAGCTTCCAGCTTTCTCTTTCTAGACAAGAATGATGCTGGCCCAAATTTTGGGTCAAGATCAAAGTTTGCTTGAAAGTGTTTATAGCATAGATAACATTCCTCCAATATCTAGAGAGTTTGAGACATTTCTAGAGCATATGCATTAGGGTGTTAGCATCAGCCTCACAGCTTACAAAATTGGGGCTTATTCCCAGGTCTCTACTGATTTTTTGAGTTTTTGCTGGGTATAATAAGTAGAACAAAAAAACTGGGCACATTTTTGCATAGAAGACAGACTACAGGTATCACCGACCATTCTGCATCTGTTAAAGCAGAATTCATAATTTAAAAAAAAACAAACGCTGACAGGTAGAATTTTTATAAAAAGAGGACCCTAGTGATCTCTTCTATCAAAGGCTTTATCCTACCTGTCCGTGGTAACGTACATGGACCTTCATATGTACAACTCCGAGTAGATCTATGACACTGTGCCTTAATTATATGACTCCCATGCACATGCACGGGAGTGATGTCAACACGGCCCAGTGATTGAAGCGGCCAAAACACAGCAAACCCAGATGTTAGACTGGGCAAAGACTGAAGCACCCAGTACCGGATGGACTGCTTTGTTTAACCAGCAAGTCTACCATAATATGCAGTGCATACTAGCTCATTATGGCATAAAATTACCTTAGGGCCCAATAAAAAGAAAAAAAAATGGTTTAATGCTTTAATGGACCTACGTCTGCCTCTGATCCAATCCTATGTAGCAAGGATAGACTTTTCTGTTTCGACGCAGAAACATTAAAAATAGAGAAAACGAGAGCTTTATCACCCTCTACATGGGTGAGATATCTATACATTTTAAAGTGCCTGTGAAAGGCTTTCACACTCTTAAACACGAGACATCAAAAGAAAAAAAAGTTTAAAAATGGTCTTCAATGGCACAGAAAAATAATTAGCGATCGATAAAAGTCTTCTAGTATCACCAGCAGAACTCTAACATGACTAGCAAAACTAACAGAAGCCTACATATACAGTTGTTACAATGAATGTTGCATGTCTGAAGCACGTAACATTTGTCAAAAGCATGTTAGTGAGGTCAGGATGCTGGGATAATTGAAACCATTCCACAAAAATATTTTTCTTTCGATGTCCCCTGTTAAATTGAACTGTTAGGCAGCATGCAACACACCCATGTCCTGCTTTAAAAGGCAGGGTCCAATCACATGGTTTAATCAAAGATAATGTGTTGGTAATGGATCTACTGCCACCTAGTGCCTGTTAATTATTCTGTTTCCAATGCTAGATAATACGTGCGTATTGAGCCAACTGGGTCCTTCGTTCTATGTAAACTATGTTGTACATAACTAAGAAATATTCAGAATTTGATTAATGAGAAAGCAGGGTTGAAAGTCAAGGAACTCAGTCCAGACATATGGAGTCAGACAGGCGGACTGTAGTCTCTAGAGGTATCATTAAAAACTGTAAAGCCATAATGCTTTCATTATATAGAACTCGCCCACAAATCACTAAACAACTATGTCCACTGGATTTTAAAACTATTTTTTATATGACACAGTCATACTGCAAGCACAGATAGTACATGCAGTACAGTTAGAAGCCTTATTAGCTATAATCAATAGTGAGTCTCTGTTCGTATCAAAAAACTGCTCAAAATAAAATTAAACGAACACTTTTATTAATCAGAGTATAGCATCAAGTCAGTTAAACTCCTGGGATATTGATCTGGTCAGTCAAGTAGCAGAGGGGGTTGTTCATCAGTTTCAGATGCTTTGGTGTTAACAGGTGCACTAGATGGGCAACAATGAGATGACCCCCAAAACAGGAATGGTTTTCCACGTGGAGGCCACTGACTTTTTTTCCCCCTACTCATCTTTTTTTATGGTTTTTCACTAGTTTTGTATTTGTCTAGGGTCAGTGTCACCACTGGTAGCATGAGACAATACCTGGACCCTACAGAGGCTGCACAGGCAGTCCAACTCGTCCAGGATGGCACATCAATATGTGCCATTGCCAGAAGGTTTGCTGTATCTCCCAGTACAGTCTCAAGAGCATGGAGGAAATTCCAGGAGATAGGCAGTTACTCTATTAGAGCTGGACAGGGCCAGAGAAGGTCCTTAACCCATCTGCAGGGCCGGTATCTGCTCCTTTGTGCAAGGAGGAACAGGATGAGTACTGCCTGATCCCTACAAAATGACCTCCAGCAGGCCACTGGTGTGAATGTCTCTGACCAAACAATCAGAAACAGATTTCATGAGGGTGGCCTGAGGGTTCGACGTCCTCTAGTGGGCCCTGTGCTTACTGTCCAGCACCACAGAGCTCAATTGGCATTTGCCATTAAACACCGGAATTGGCAGGTCCGCCACTGGAGCCCTGTGCTTTTCACAGATGAGAGAAGGTTCACCCTGAACACATGTGACAGATGTGAAATAGTCTGGAGAAGCCATGGAGAACAATATACTGCCTGCAACATTGTTCAGCATGACCGTTTTGGTGGTGGCAGGCTAGACAATGGCACCCTGACTGCCATTAGGTATGGGGATGAAATCCTTGGACCCATTGTAAGACCCTACACTGGTGCAGTGGGTCCTGGATTTCTCCTGGTAAACGACAATGTCTGGCCTCATGTGGCGAGAGTATGCAGGCAGTTCCTGGAGGATGAAGGAACTGATGCCATTGAATGGCCCCCACACTCGCCTGAACTAAATTCAATCGAACACCTCTGGGATATCATGTTTCAGTCCATCTGACGCCACCAGGTTGCACCTCAGACTGTCCAAGAGCTCAGTGATGCCCTGGTCCAGATCTGGGAGGAAATAGCCCCGAACACTATCAGTCATCTCATTAGGAGCATGTCCAAACATTGTCAGGCATGCATGCAAGCACATTGAGGCAGTACACACTACTGAGTACTATTTTGAGTTGCTGCAATGAAATTTCAGCAAAATGGACTAGCCTTCTGCATCTTTTATTTCACTTTGATTTTTGGAGTGTCTTTAAATTCAGTCCTCTGTAGGTTGATCATTTTCATCAAACGATAGGGCATCCTTACGTTCCTAACATTACCCAGTCCATATTAGTATAGATATCCAGCATGATATTTTTTCCCCATTGAGATCTGATATATTTTCAAAGTGTTCCTTTAATTTTTTTGAGCAGTGTATGTGTAACCTGAAGATCTGTACTACAACAACATCTCTCAGCACACAGTATTAGATACAGAAAACAATCACTTTATGGATGGAATTATTAATATTTTAGATACAGCTGCTTCCAGCAGTTTTCTTTTTTAAAGTAGAACTAAAAGCCGATTTATTTTTAGTTTTGGATATAGTATGGAGTGTTTTAATCCCTGTCAGGTTTCTTTGCCATCTACCCCCCATTAGGGACATTTTCTTTCATTTCCTGTCCCATAGCCAAACAGGAATTGAGAGGAGATCTCTGGTTGTTACCAGAATTTGAGTCCCCATTGGAAGATTTCCCCACTTAAAGCAGAGGGTGAATCTCCCTAACACTTGCACAGATTTTGAGGAAGAATACAGACATCGCTGTTAGCTGCAAAGGAGAGTGAATGCTGGGTCAATCCAAAATCTTGGGGAATTGTTGCGCAGAAGGCTGGAGAGCTTACATTGTGTTTGATGTATGTAAAACTGAGGGTAAGAAACAATCTGAGATTCTCATGTGGATTTAGCTCTGTGTTCCTGCACTCATAAGCATGCATTTGTGTGTGTTTGTATTCTAATTCATTATATTTAACTGTATACAATGAGATATATCATTCATAGCTCATTTGCATTTTTAAAAGGACAATTGCTACAGTTACCTTTAAACGAGCAATCTGGATTGGAGAGAAGCTTCTGACCCCATTAATAGAAGGAACAAGTCTATTATATAAAGCCTGAAAAACACAAGTTTTTGTACAGCGGCATTAACACATCAGACTTCAGAAAAATTAAAACACTAATAGGGCATACAAGCATTTAATAAAAAAATTCCAACATATACAATATGGTATATTACAGTCCATAGATACAAAATAAACAATTTTACTTTAAGTACCAAGGAAGAATGGCAATATCTGTAGCTCCACCCACAAAATAAAGATTACCTTGTCTGATTGAGTGTTCTCATGCAGAATCCTAGCATCTATGGCAGCTGCCAGCAGGTTATTGGCTGCTGTAATAGCATGAATATCACCAGTCAAGTGCAAGTTAAACTACAAAATAATAAAAATCTGTCAGTATACATGGTAAAATCACTACAAAACAGTAAACTGGTTAGGGGAAATAAGCATTTTAGTTTAAAAGTTTAGACTACTGCACAAAAATCGTATTTTAAGTTAGCATTTAGGCTGGATTTATGTCCATGTGCTTCTGTTTTCATATATTTTTTTAATGAATTTCTCAGTGAGTATTTTCTTGCATTAACACACAGGTTGGGTGGTATGAAAAGAACCTGTCAGTCATTCTCCAAATACAACTAAGCCAAAATCAAATGTTCTGTTCCCATATCATGTGTTTCCATGCATTTCCTTTGACTTCTATGGGCTCCCTGATGGACACTGAGAAATTTAAAAAAAAAATGTGCCTAAACTTTTCACAACACATTACATCACAATACAAATACTGTATGTAAACCAGACTCAATAACAATGATGGGATATCAATTAACATGTGTTGTGATGCTTTGTACCGCACACTGAAATGCATAGGTGTTAATGGGGCCTATACAGGGGAAAGGGGAGATACAGAGGCTGTCATTTCAGACCTCCTTCTGAAATAGTCTGTGGGTCGTCTGTTGCTGATTCACAGCGAAAATTACCACAAAAAAATATGCAGGTCAAAGAAAAGTGAGAAGTCCTTATCGGCACTCTTGCTCCAGGTCAGCAGCTCTAAGACTTGAAGTCAGAGACAACTAACATCTTTTAAGGAGAGATCAGTAATGACAGTGTATAATGGAGTACAGTGGACTGAATCATCAGCTGTTTTTCCTTCTTTGGGGCTCCAGTGGACCAGTAGCTTCTAGTTCCCATTCTGCCCCGAAATATTTTAAAGTCTTCTCTATAATATGAAAGAAAAAAAAAAATAGATAGGGACAACCCCATAATAGCCACAAGAAATATCAGCTAACACTATTGTTTAACATCTACTAAACAATGAAATCCCAGTTTGGGGAAGACCCAACTGTTCAGAACTAAAAGCAGCAGGTCTCATTTGGTAAAGGTAAGGACAGTTGAAGAATCTGTGCCTATATGTGCTCTGAGGTCTCTGAAGAGGTCTCTAATGACGAAACATGCTGGGTGGAGCTCTGATCTCAGGGCAAACACGGTTTGTGAGCAGGAGGAGTGCAGCAGCCAGCTTGCGGTTCATATTTGTGGTGCATGAGTGTGTCCAGTGGCTGCATACCCAGCTTCTGTTCCAGTGTTTTTTGTCAATGAAGTTTAATATTTGTGCTGTTTTAATTAATATAGTGGGGAGCACCAATATCCTCTATTTTGTCTTCCTGGAGCCTGATCCATGAGAGTGACTGAGCTTGGCTTTTCCACCTGCCAATCATTGGGTTGCACACTGGGAACCTATTTGGTTAGGAAGTCATTCCTACAAGAGGTGCTTGATGTAGAACCCTAGCATCTCACTAACAGATTAAATATGCTCGAGATCTGGTTTTTAGGATGGGGCTAAGATTTGGAAGTTGAGAGAGCATCCAAGGGAAGGTGAAGAGAACTTCTTAAGCGTTAACCTGCACAAGGGATTCAGGCTTAATTTTTGCACCAACTTTTATATTGATCACTTTGAATTTTTGATTATACAGTATTTGTTTACATTTTGACATATTAGTTTGTCACATTTTTGTATATGTAACATTACTATATTCTAGCACCATACTTTTACACCTGTATATTTTTGAGTGATTTTTGGTCACTTTGTGTTTGCTGCTTGTTGTGTTTCTGCCTTGTGCGTGAAATTTTCCTTTATCCAATGCGAAGTTAAAAGAATTTCACAACTTGAACCCCCTAAAAGCAAACAAACGACACTCAATTCACATCTAAAGAAACAAAAGATGTAAAAAAGTAGGCTGTGCAAAAAAAGGCCCATTTACTATGAACATGGTATACCTAATGCCTTAGAAAATTCTTTTGTACCCTTCTCCTGAGTGATACCTTTTAACACTGACATCCCTCTGATGCTTTGGAAGCTCTCTGCGGAGCATGGCTTTTGCTGTAGGATGCGACTAAGAAAATGTCAGGAAAGACCTACTAGAACAGCTGAACTATATTTGGGGTTAATCAGAGGCACTTTAAAATGATGGCAGGTGGGAACTGACTCCTATATAACAACTTGATTTTGAATGATTGCTTCATTCTGAACACAGCTACATCCCCAGTTATAAGAGGGTTTGCACACTTATGTAAACATATTATTTTAGTTTTTTTATGTTTACTTCCCCCTCTAAAAGATTTCAGTTTGTTTTTCCATTGAGTTGCAGTTTATAGGTCATATTAAAAAGGTGGAAAAAGTTCTGAAATTATTTATCGGTGTCTTTTTTTAATATCACAGAAACCTGACATTTTAAATAGGGGTGTGTAGACATTTTATATCCACTGTATGCCTAAAACATAAGATTAATAGATCAAATACCAAATTATTGTAATACAATCAATATATAGTTCATAAACGTGTTCAATAAACAGAATCAGTCCCAGTCTTCAGTGTTCACACTTGTTCTTCATCAATTCAAAGTGTTAATTCACCATCATGCATTTTCAAACCACTAATATAGGCATTCTTAGACCTAGTTGCTTACAGGTGATATTGGAAGGTGACCGCATCTTTGAATGGTGGTGGGAATTACTGCATTGCATAGATTTATGACTGAAAACTCAAGATGGTGAATGAACACATTGCATGTATTGATGAAGAACAAGTGTGAACACTGAAGACGGACTGATTCGGTTTATGGAACACGTTTATGAACTATATATTGATTGCATCACAATAATTTTGTATTTAATCTATTAAATCATATGTTTTAGGCATATTTATTCAGGTAGGCACTGCCAATTGTTAGTTAATTTACCATTATGGTGCCGCATCTCCCCAAAAGACAAAAAACAAACTTTTCTAAAAGTCTATGTTGCTAGGCACACGTTTCCCTACTGTGCTAGGACCTGGATGAAGATTTTCTTTTGCCTGTATAACGAACACTAAAAGTTTTTTTCCAGATCCCCCTCAAAGCAGCACATGCAATACTATTCCTACACTTCTCTAAAACTTCTGTTCACCTGCTGCAAGCAATGTAAAATACATTGAATTCTGGGTATGGGTGAGCATAAGACTCCCTCTATTCCATGTGACAGCATTGGTGCCTTGTGATTGGCCCAACAGCTTCACACAAAGGGCAGGAAACAAACTCACAGCTCTGCGTAAGTTTGGACAAACTTGAGTGAGCTTACACGGGGCTTTGTTTCCCCACACCCAACAGCCGAGGAAAGGTGAGCATATACTGCTGGGGAGCGGTAAGTCAAGTGAACCCTATTTTTCTCTGCATTGGCAAGACAAAGGATTATACTAAGGAACCAAGTACACTGCATTGTTTGATTGATGTGGAGCATACAGGTTTGCAAATTTTAGCACTCTAAGGGTATGGAAGCTGTCACAACAGATGCAGGTGGTGACAGGCACACTAAAAAAGGTACTAGTGTGTACACTAGAGGATGCTTGCTATCCAGCTGCAAACAATTGTGTGTGACCACACAAGTTTTCTTTAACCAGCTTCCTCTCATTTCTGTCACTGTAGGGGTATGATGGACACAAGTGAATGTAATCCATACAGATCACAAAATTCTACCTAACTGAAGTTGGATGGATTAGTCTACCCATGTTGTCTATGTGTTATGTCAAAGGAAACTTGTACCGAGAAAAATAGGCTGGTATTACTGACCTGTCCTGAAAAGGGTAGTTCAATAATTTAAGCTGTTCCCCAAGAACAAGCATGCAACCAGCAACATCAGAAACATCTGATCTGCATACTTGTTCTAGGTGAATGATTTCACAAGCTGTAGCCACTAGACCAGTGTGTCAGTCAGGCAACAAGCATTCAGCAAGAGAACCAACTTTTCCATTGCATTAGAAAATACTCGCTTGTTCATACCTCTTCCATAGGAATTACTTGAGCATAGCCACCTCCTGCTGCTCCACCTGTGAATATAACAAAAATTATATATACCGTGTTCCAAATTATTATGCAAATTATATTTTTCTAATTTACCTAAATAATTGATGTAAATAACAGTCAGCATAATTCTCATGTTATCAACTATTAGGAGTACAATTCAAATTTTATTGAACAAACCTAATAACAGAATTTTTTTTTTTTACATAAAAAACTTACAATGCACTGTTCCAAATTATTACGCACAGTGAGTTTCAAAACACTTTATAGGTTGTAAAGAACTGAAAATTGGCATTTGTTGCGTTTGCAGCATATTTACTGAAAACAAAAGCTATTTCAATCAAACTTTTAACAACATTTTAACTTTTTAAACCTTTGAACAGGTCACGTTACATTGTAACATAGGACCCCTGATTTGATAGCAGCTTCACAAGTCTTGCATCCATTGAACTTGTGAGTTTTTGGACAGTTTCTGCTTGAATTTGTTTGCAAGATGTCAGAATAGCCTCCCAGAGCTGCCGTTTGGATGTAAACTGCCTCCCACCCTCATAGATCTTTTGCTTGAGGATGCTCCAAAGGTTCTCAATAGGATTGAGGTCAGGGGAGGATGGAGGCCACACCATGACTTTCTTTCCTTTTATCCCCATAGCAGCCATTGATGCAGAGGTATTATTTGCAGCATGAGATGGTGCATTGTGATGCATGAAGATGATTTTATTACGGAAAACATAGTTCTTCCTTCTGTACCAGGGAAGAAAGTGGTCAGTCATAAACTCCACATACTTTGCAGAGGTCATCTTTACACCTTCGAGGCCCCTAAAGGGGCTGACCAGCTCTGTTCCCATGATTCCAGAACAAAACAAGACTCCACCACCACTTTGCTGACGTCGCAGACTTGTTGGAACAGGGTGGCCATCCACCAACCATCCACTACTCTATCCATCTGGACCATTCAGTGTTGCACGGCACTCATCAGTGAACAGGACTGTTTGAAAATTAGTCTTCATGTATTTTTCTGCCCAATGCAGCCGTTTCTGCTTGTGAGCATTGGTTATTGGTGGCCGAATAGAAGGTTTATGCGCAGTTGCAAGACTCTGAAGGACTCTACACCTTGATGTCCGTGGGACTCCAGAGGCACCAGCAGCTTCAAATATCTGTTTGCTGCTATGTAATGGTAGTTTAGCAGCTGCTCTCTTGATCCGATGCATGGATCTGGCAGAAATCTTCCTCAATGTGTCTTTATCTGCACGAACCCGTCTGTGCTCTGAATCAGCCACAAATCTCTTAATAGTGCGATGATCACGCTTAAGTTTTCATGAAATATCTAATGTTTTCATACCTCGTCCAAGGCACTGAACTATTTCACTCTTTTCAGCAGCAGAGAGATCCTTTTCCTTCCCCATATTGCTTGAAAATGGTGCTCTGCTTAATAATGGGGAACACCCTCCTTTAGTAGTTTTTCCTTAAAATTGGGCTCACCGGCCAATCTAATTATCACAGGTGTCCGAGATTGTTTTCAGTGATCAAAAAGAGCCCTGACACACAATGCCATCCATGAGTTAAACTGAAAAACAAAATATTTAATCTTTGTGACACTTAAATATAATTTGCATAATAATTTGGAACACGGTGTAGGCAGATTACTCAAAAAAAAAAAAAAAAAAAAAAAAAAAAAAAAAAAAGAGGGAAGGAAGGAAGAAAGGGAGGGAAGGAAGGAAGGAAGGAAGGAAGGAAGGGGAGGGAAGAAGACGAAATACACTTTTACTAGGAGTCATAGGCATGCATTTACTAAAGGCAAATAGACTGCACACTTTTCTCGTTTTCCCCAGAGCGTACTAAAAGCAGTAAAGCTCTGCTGATTTTCATCATCCAAATCATGAACAAATCAAAAATGCAGTATTTTAAATTTCCCTTGCATCTGATTGTTTATTCTTTACAAAGTGAAGCTTTAGCACATTTACTAAACTCTGGAGAGAATTATTTGCAGCTGCACTTTCAAAGTGCACTCCATTTGCCTTTAAAAAATCCAACCCACAGAGTGCCATGACAGACATGCTACAAGAAAATGGTTCTCAACTATTGCTCTATCCATCAAATCACCACCATCAACAAAACGTATACGTCAAAACAATTTCAAGCTATATTTCACACCCTCACTGGGCGCTTTACTCTAAGAAAGCATTATAAGACAATTTACTTTCTGAAGAAAACTATTACAAAACAAGTATCAGAAGACAGAAAGTGCACCTCCATGATAAAAATAAAATAGTGGGTATGATTCAAAGTCTTTAGGGCCAGGAGACTAACTTTTTTTTTTTTTTTTTTTTTTTTTAGAAAGTATCAACTTCAGTTCAGAGAAAAAAGTATGTGTTTACAGACAATGGTGTTCTGTCTGGCACATGCAATCTAAGAAATAAAAAAACTGATTAATTTGGATAAGCCAGATCCTGTGTTTCCTCTAGATGTGTTTTTGCCGATACAGCCAAGGTTAGTTGCTTTCCACCCCAAGCTTTGCATTAAATCCACTCTGAGGAGGTAAAAGATTAGATTTTGGATAATTTTGTCAAGAAAGTCAGCTTGGCCGAAACGGTGGCTGGTAGGGTCCAGATTCGCCTGATGATCAGGAGTACCAGGCAGTTTTTACACAACCTAGTAAACCAAAAGAACACTGTCAATGGGTGGAGGCATTCATTTAGGTTGAACTATCATTTGGGCCTAATGGGGGAGGCATTTCTTTTCAAGCATGTCGCATGATTATTTACCCAGAAGCAGGGGCAGACTGACCATTTGGAAACTTGGGCACTGCCCGAGGTCAGTAGGGGGCCCCATGAGATGCCCCTGGTACCTTTTTCATAGGCTTTTTTAAGTTTGGGCAAAGACACAGGGGCCCCATGATCCCCTATTGCCCGGGGGCCCCATGAGTTGTCAGTACGCCCCTGCCCAGAAGCAACCTCATTTTCTTGAGAAACTTATTTGGTTTTAGTGAAATAAAGCAGTTCTCTACTCTAGCTCCCATCATTCCAAACTTACCTTTAACTCCAAAAGTTGGCCCTTGTGAAGGTTGTCTCAAGCATGCAAAAGAATTGATATCTTTCTGTGCAGTAAGAGCTTGTACCAGGCCAATGGTAACTGTGCTTTTTCCTTCACCAAGAGGAGTAGGAGTTATGCTAAAATTGTGAGAAAGAAAAAAAAGAAACAAAAACATATGTCAAATGGCTTTAGGACACTCGCTGTGGGATGGTGCTATTTGCAAAATAAAACGAAGAAAGGGTCATAGCTGCAGCATGAATGAATGAGGCTGCTATAAACTGTACCTGGTCAGACAGCACACATGGCTTGCATTTAAACCATTCCATGTGATACACAAGAGAAGAATCAACTATTCTTTTGGCAAGAAATCTAAAGACTTTAGTAAATTCTGATAGGGGTTTCCATGAAACCACAGAGCCAAAAGTTGAAAAGCCATATATCAAATTATCAATGGTGAAGCTGCTTTAGCTGCTGTTCAGGTGCTTTTGGGCGTTTCCCTATATCCCTGACTGTGCAAAAGAGCAAAACACCCCCATCAGAACAGCAATACAATTCTAGGCATGTAAAAAGCAAAATGCAAGGAAAATATACAGCTATAAGATGCAATAAATGTATGTAAATCCAAAACCAAGATACTCTGTTATGGGACTTAGCTACTAATAACATGGCAATGGCACTTAACCAACTAGTAGTATTTGATTTTTTTTTATTTTTTTTATTACAGGTACTTCTATAGCACCATCAATTTATGCAGCACTTTACATAGTATATTATACATTCACACAAGTGCCTGCTCTCAAGGAGCTTACAATCGAAGGTCCCTAACTCACATTCATATAAAACAGGTACTAAGGCCAATTTAGAAAGATGTCAATTAACCTACCAGCATGTCTTTGCCATTTGGGAAGAAACCAGAGTAGTCGGAGGAAACCCATGCAAGCACAGGTAGACCATGCAAACACCTAGTGTCGCGGCTGGGATTCAAACCAGCGACCCTAGTGCTGCTAGGCAGAGCTGCTAACCACTTAGCCACTGTGCGTTGCGTCACTAATTATGCGACTTCATCAGGAACCATGAAGTCACATGATTAGTGAAACAATGCGCCGGACGAGAGACAGACGTGGTGACGTTACTTTCGGCGCAAGCGCCTTCTTGATACACCCATAGAAGTAAACCCAGGAGTTCCTATAAGGATCTGTGAGCATGTTTTTCACTTAACACATGTGAGTGAGCATTTACAGTATTTTTTTACATCAATAAATGAAACCATATCACACGATGGAAGGATTGTTCTTCTTGTTTTATAAACACCGATGAGGAAGCTGAGTTGCAATTAGATCATATGAAAACCACCCGGGTATCAGGAGAGGTGATACCTGTAAGTTCTGAAGGAGGATACCACTACGGTTTGTGTTACCGAATCTGACATGGAGGATTGAGCGGTTGGCTATGCCTAATAGCATAAAAGCGTTTTGACCCTGTGGGGTCGCTTCATGAAGGTGAGGGGGCAATCTTACCAATGAAGGATTACACTTTTTGTTCACCTGCCAAATTTATGGTTATCACTGGAGGTTTCTATATATCCAGCCATATTGAATATTACACACGTAGACAATTTGTTTTTTTTGTTTACTAATAATTGGTGGCACGGGTTCTTGTGGACTTTTACAAATTCATTTAAGTTATGTGTTTATCATAGAGTGTCACTGGATTTTCATTTGTGGATTCACCCATTTTATTTATTTATTTTGCCATTTATATAGCAGTATAGTCCCAAGTTTGGGGACTAGAGCACGGAAAAATATATACACTTTGTTAAATGTGGGCACTTGTCAAGTGTTATGTCGAAGGATTTGTTATAGTCCTTGAGGACTGTCTTTTAGTCAGGTTAATTTATCCTGACCGTCCCATTGTTTCTATAGGCACAATAGTGCTATTTGTCAGCTAATTTCCACTGCACCTTTGGGCATTCATTTCATGCCAAGTGTTTTATCACATGTGGTTTAGTGCTATTTGTGATTTCACCCTGTTTAGGGACACAAGTGGGTCAATGTATTGTGTTTTTATGTGTTTTGCAGTTTTATTTTTTATATGGTTTATCAAACACCACTGTATAAGATTGTATAATAATATGAAAAATTAAGTTTGTGATAATTATACACAGGAGGATTCACTAGGGGTGAATTTGAAACCTCATTTTGATTTAGTAATTTATATAAAAAAATACAAATGTGGGAGCCCAGCACCATTTTTGTTACATTTTTGATCCTATTCTATTGAGGTGTATAGCCAGGTGTCAGCAGCAACCCACTCCTAGAACATTAGTTTATTCAGGGTTCTCCATTGTTTTCCTAGCATACACAGAGTATGTACTGTAATAACAAAGTATGTACTGTAATAACTGAGCAACAGTCCTTACCCCCCCCAGAGCGAGGAGCAGCATTTACACAGTAAGTGGGCATAAAGGAATAAGTGAGAGCATTTGTCAACAAAATAGGGCATTGTCATCATGGGAGTAGTCCTGTTTCTTTGGTGAGACGTGCCCTCGATAGGGAAAGCTTGCTATGGGGGCACCCGCTGCTCTCTGTGTCCATTCATACACTGAGGCACGGCTTGGCCCCACCCTCTCTCATTGGCTGACTGGCTGTGATTGACAGCAGAGGGAGCCAATGGCACCCGCTTGCTGTCTCAGCCAATGAGGAGGCAGAGACCAGGGACAGCTGAGGCTGTCATTCACATTGCTGGATCACGATGAGGCACAAGTATTGAGGGGGCTGAGGATACTGCTGCACACAGAAGGTTTTTTTACCTTCATGCATAGAAAGCATGAAGGTAAAAAAAACCTTGAGCTTTACAACCACTTTAATGATTTGTGAGTGCAGCCCCTGTTTAAATGTTCTGGTAAAGTGCCAAGTTAAGGATCACTAGCTTTTTCTAAAAGAGCAGAGATGGGGGGGTAGGAGGTGACTTTTTCCCATGATGCTGCAATTACTTTACATGTGTAGAATTTCAATAGGCCAAACAATGTTCATTCAAATGTGGTAGGGGCTAAATCGTCAACCAAACCAAGCAAGCAGGTCTTAGGAGACACGGAGATGGCCATGATATGATCAACCATCTCCTGCCAGAAGTTTAAAATTTTAGGGTCCAAAAGAGGTAGAAAAAAAAAAAAAAAAAAAATCTCCAACCATTTGTCAACAATGACAGCAAACAGGTGAAACAGTGAGTTTCACTTGTAGAGTCTGACTTGTAAAGCACACTACAAAAAGCTTTTTTGTATTCGCTTGTCTCTCAGAGAGACTAGTTGGCTTAAGGGTATATCCCAAACCTCCACCCAATTTTCCCTAGCACCAAATTTTTTAAAGTCCAATATAAAAGTTCATTAAATAAATTTCTACATATTAATTTAAAAGTACTATTAAAACCTGTATTACAATGTTCTAGCTTATGATTTCTATTTTGGTACTTCAACCACTTCTCAACCACACTGTAGCCAAAAGACTGCTACAGCACAGTTGGCTAGTTCTGGGAGGGCGTCCATGGATGGCCTCCCAGAACCACACCCTCCGTTCCTGGCCTGATCTATGATTGCGGTGTCCTTTAAACACAGCTGATCACTTGTCCAAGTAAAGTCCAATCAAAGATGCTTTTTACCATGTGAGCAGCGGTGTCAAATCACAGCTGATCACAGTGTAAATAGGAAATGCCACCTATGGGCAGTCCTCTCCTGGTGCTGACAGTGCGTGAGGACAAGAGAGCCGGTAAGCGGCATTTCTTAGGGGGATGATCAGTGTAGTCCCATCAGTGCAGCCAATAGTGCCCATCTGTGCTGGCTATCAGTGCCTCCTTAGTGCCGCCTATCAAAACACATCAGTGCAGCCTCATCAGCACACATCAGTGAAGGAGAAAAATCGCTTATTTCTAAAACTTTATACCGGAAACTTTTTTTTTTTTTCAAAAAATGGTCTTTTGTTTAGCAAAAAATAAAAACCCCAGTTGTGATTAAATACCGCAAAAGAAAGCTCTATATGGCAAAAAAGTATAAAAAAAATTAGCTTGGATACAGTGTTGCATGACCGCACAATTATCATTCAAAGTGTGACAGCGCTGGAAGCTGAAATTTGGCCCGGGCAGGAAGGGGGTAAAAGTGCCCAGTAAGCAAGTGGTTAAAAATGTATTTACCACAAAAATCTAGCGCTAAAGGAAGTAAACAGAACAAGTGTTGCAGCACTAAAAAAACAAACAAAAAACATATACTTTGAGGTGGCACGTTACACAATCATAGCATTCTAACAGAAAGCGTAGGCAACTAAAATAGAAACACAAGGCTGCACTGTAATGTCTACTGCGAAGACTAGTGACTTATAGTTTGCTGCCCTAAAATCAAGTTCTTGTCCAGGATGTACATCCCATAGCCAGGGGAGAATTTACACTTTTTTTCCCCCTAGGTAGCTACCTTATGCAATCCTTCTCCCCTCCAACATTTGTTTTGCCATTACCGTCTCCCCCCAATACATGCATCCAAAGGACACATGACTTTCAAATGTTCCACAAACAGGAATAAGTGATCAAAGACAATAGAATAGACAGGTATGGGAGAGTTGGAGGGCAACACGTTTTTACTGTATATCAGACATTTATATATTTTTACTGCCTGGTTAACAAAGAACCCTTTGGCCTGTTGGAAGTTTTATCTTGTTCTGACATTCCAAGAATACAATAGGATGTAACAAAAGATTGCATACTAGAATCCTGATCCTGGAAGGGCACTTATACCCCTAGTGTCATGTTTCACATGACTGTCATACTGTATGCCTTTAAGTGTTTCTATATTTTGTTTCTGCTCCTCCCTTTCCTTTGGTTAAGTTAATGCTGTATAGATATCCCACCCCTTTTCCCAGAAATGCATTGGAGCTCTAGCCTCATGTCATGGAGCAGGAAACATTATGATCTTTTGACCTATCAAATGTTCATTGTTGTAAGATTCTGTCAGTTTATGGAATAAACTTCACAAGAGGTCTTATCGATTGAGTCACTGACTGTGGTATCCAACTGAGGTTGAAGTTATCACTATCACATCACAACTGTAAGTTACAGAGATCACACTATCTATGCTTAGATTGGAGAGACAAAACACCTAGTGGTGGGGCATTAGAAGATATAGCCTCAGCTCAGATTTCCCGGTGATGCAGAGATTAACGGATTTCATAGCTTCTAAAAAGAAGGAAGGTGCCAGATGTTGACCTGGGTCAAGGAGCTAGATGGCAATATAGCAGTGCCCTCTGGTGGAGGACAGTGCCATATTTTCACCATACTTCCAGGTAACTCTAAAAGACAGTCTCTTATGAACACAGGATAATATAGGACAAGCAGAAAGCATCAAATGATTGGTGTTTGTGAGTGCTTTTCCCTCTATCTTCCTGGAGCCCAGCCGTGATACAGAACAGAGGACAGACTTAGATAACATATCATCAACTTTTTTATTTCTATATGCACCAGAATGTCCTCTTAGATTTCAATGTTAGTTTTTTCTACTTCGAGCGCTGTATTTATTTTTGTGGCTGGTATTGTTATTAACCACTTCAAGTCCGGACACTCTCACCCCCTTCCTGTCCAGGCCAATTTTCAGCTTTCAGTGCCATCACACTTTGAATGACAATTGCGCAGTCATGCAACACTGGTACATATGGATTTAGCTTTTTTTTTTTAGACAGATAAAACTTTATTTTGGTGGTATTTATTCACCACTGGGATTTTTATTTTTTGCTATATACATGAAAAACTCCAAACATTTTGAAAAAAAAAAAAAAAAAAGTTTTATAAAAGTTTGCAAATAAATATTTCTTCATAAATCTTGGCCAAAATGTATCAAAATGTATCCATTTTTTTTTAGAAAAAAAACAAATGATAATTTTTCAAATTTTTTTTTACATTTTTATATTATGTTTTTGTAACATACTGTCACCCTAGCAGTACAGTGTCACCATAGTGACACTGTACTAGTGAGGGGTGATGAAGTTTTTTTTTTTTTTTTACACCCATAAAGGCTGTAAAAGCAATCATTTCTCCTTCTCTCTATCTGCAGTCTTGAAGTCATTGAGAAATACTGTGAGAGCTGTGATTGGTCACAGCTTGTCACATGGTAAAAGGTGTTTGTGAATAGCCTTGTACCATGTGACCTCTGTGGCCATTCACAGATTTCACTAGTAGTAAGCCAAGTAGTAATAGTAGCAAGATGTCAGGAAGTGACATCTTGCTTATTACTATTCATGTAATCACTGATTGGCCAATCAGTGATCACATGATCGCAGTGCCGCATGCTCCCAGGGAGTGCGCACAGGCTGGGAAGCGGAACGTTTATAAACGGCCACCCGTTCCAGCACTGCTCCCCTCCGGCCATTTATGTACATGGGCCAGACGGGAAGTGGTTAAATTATCAGTTATTATCCGTGGCAGTGCATCAATTCACGTTAAATCTCACATAAAATGCGTACTGCATTAAAGCAGCCTGTTCATTATGAATAGGCTGCTAAAACATACCACCATGCATTGCACCACAACGCACAGAATGTGTGATGAAGTCTTTTCCTGTGCTTTTTAAAATGCATGCATAAAGCATACGGATTGTGGTAAAGCACATGTTTTAACCACAATGCATACAAGTATGAATAGAGCCCAGCACTAAGAAATAGAAAATGTATTTATATGGGGCATATACACAAAACCACCTAAAACTGTTTAGAATTCATGTTTCCCAACTAGTTAGTGACCATTAATGACCGGATCTGCTTATAAACTATAAAAGCATACAGCTGCTTTCCATACACTACAAGATCAAGCTACTCATTTGAGAATGGTCAGCTCAGTTGTATATGCATAAAGAGACAGGCATCATTTACAACTGAATTTTTTTATCGTGCAATATCAATTGGGAATAGGAGAAAGATGAACAGTAAGTGTATCCTCATAAAATGAAAGTGTTGCCATTTAATGAAATTTGCATTCAAAATATGAATATAAAGTCTACATTATTAAAAAATAATACGATGACTATAACATGTCCGACTATAGAAATTCCTATATTGCTAAGTAAGAGTATACAGCAGCCAAGCAATTCAGACCGACAAAAAGAGAAAAAGGCCAGAATGTTAAACATGGCCCAAATGAGTATTCTTACCCTGCAACTAAGACATATTTTCCATCTGGTTGCTCTTTTAACCTTTCCAGAACAGACAGACGTACTTTGGCTTTGGTGCGGCCATACATTTCGAGTTCATCAGAAAGCAATCCTATCTCCTTTGCAAGCACATCAATAGCTTTTGGGTTCTGTCTTCGAGAAATCTCGATATCACTGGAAGAAAGAAATTGAACAGATTCATTGGTTTAGGTGGTCAGAAGTATAGAATATACCGCATACGGCAAAATCGGCTAATTTTTCTATAATTTTTCCAACAGGTGGCAATCTAAAAACCACATGCATGTCCGCTTCTGTATAATAAAAGCAAAAGAAGATCATTCGGATTAATATCAAAACGTCCAAGAAATCTCCCTGATGAACGGGTGAAAGTGACTCCTTGCTAGATAATGCTATATGAATGCATTCACCAGAAGCAAATATTAAAATGTGCACATTAATATATCCAGCTCCTCCACAGTTAGAGAAGACTTCCACAAGAAAATCATGGTATGAAGACAAGAAAAACACCACTGGCTTCTAACAGCATTACAGGAATGACTCCGGCACCACCACTGGCATCACTGCATTACAGGGATGACTCAAGAAACCGCTCCACCATGGACAGAGCCAGCAGGAATAATCCAATCCACCTTAGGAAAAATAGCTCGCAAAAACAAGCCACAAAAGGAGAGCTTATGGTGTAGTATTATTTATTGTATAAAAGAATCATCCACATGGGTCACAAAGAAAGCTGGTAACATACTACTAAAAATGGCCACCAGACCTTGGTGAGGATGCGGAGGCATGACGTCAGTACAGCAGGCTACTCCCGTGAGGAGCTCTGTGAGGGAGGAGCCTGCCGTACTGATGTCACACCGCTGCATCCTCACGAAAGTCAGGCGGCCATTTTTAGTAGTATGTTACCAGTTTTCTTTGTGACCCACGTGGATGATTCTTTTATACAATAAATACTACACCATAAGCGCTCCTGTTGTGGCTCGTTTTTGCGAGCTATTTTCCCTAAGGTGGATTGCATCCGAATGATCTTATCCATTTATTTTATATTGGACTGTTCACCATTGTCACTTTATACTTATTTGCAAATATCACTTATTTCGCTGATATTCTGTGGGACACTCATGCAATATTCACTTTAGCGCTGTTTTGAGTGCCTTCACTTTGAGTTTTTCACTATTGTCACTTTATTTACTAGCATTTGGGTTTTGTAATATTGTACAGCACTGCATTTTACATTTTTTCATGTCTTTTTCTGTGTTTACCCACGTAGTATCTGAATGGCAGTACCATTCTTCTACATAGAAGAATGAAGTTTGTCACTGCTGCATCAACGCCCATGTAGCTAATGAGGAGGTTTAAACAGTTGAGTGGACTCTGCAAGATATAGTAGTTTGTAGGAGCTCTAAGCAAATTATACAAACAATAGAAGAAAAAAAAATTGTACACAGAGAAAATGAACCTTAAAAAGTCAAATTTTGCTGTTAGAGCGAACATCTAGAAATGTTAATTGTACTAAAGTAGTACCTTAAGATGCATCTGTCTTGAATTCCTCTTGAAAACAAAAGAGCAACAAAAAGCTGCCAAAATAAACTTGTACTAACAAAGAGCTGGAGGAACATTTTGCAACTAATTAGTCAGTGACATGATCAGATATAAAAAGATCTTAGAAAGTCAGAGTGTCCCAGAAGTAAAGATGTACAGAGAGGTTCACCAATCTGAACAGCTGCTCCTTAAAATTATCAAACAATGTCAGAATAATGTTACCCAACATAAAAATTCAAAGACTTTAAATATTCCATCAACTGCAATACAGAATATCAAGAGATCCAGAGAATCTGGACAAATCTCTGTGCCAAAAAGGGAAGAGGCAGACAATCTTGGATGCCCATGATCTTCTGGCCCTCAGACAGCACCACATTAAAAACAGGCATCTCTGATGTACATCACTACACATGGACATATATCAACATGATCCAGAAATATACTGCCTTCTTCTCTTAGCCAAAGCTCATTTAAAATGAGCAGTGAAAAAACACTGTTCTTTGGCCTTACAAATTGAAATTTGACATTTTTTTCAGCAACCATGGGCACCTCTGCATCCTCTGGACTAAAGCGCAGAGGGACATTTTGGCTTATGAGGGCTCAGTTTAAAAGCCTGCATTTATAATGGTATGGAGGTACATTAGTGCATATGGAATGAACAGCTTGCACATCCAGAAAAGCACCATCAATGCTGAAAGATATAACTAGGTTTTAGAGCAACCTATGCTCCCATCCAAACAATGTCTTTTCAAGTAAGGCCTTGCAAATTCCTGCAGGACAATGCAAGATCACAATGCATCTATGACACCAGAACCCAGCTACATAGAAGAAGAATCCAGGTGTTTAACTGGCTTGCTTGCAGTCCAGACCTTTCACCAACTGAAAATGTTTGTCCATATTTTTCATTCCAGAATACACCAAATAAGACCCATGACTGTTGAGCAGTTAGAATACTATATCAGGCAAGAATGGGACAACGTTCTTCTGAAACTCCAGCAGCTGGTCTCTTCTGTTCCTAGTCGTTTACAGAGTATTAATAAAAAGAAAGGGGATGCTACACCATGGTAAATATAGCCCTGTCCCAAATTGTTTGAGATGTGTTACTTCCATCACAATGTCAGATACCTTTTTTTGTTTTATTAAAATGGTACATTTTCTCAGTTTAAACATTTCATATAGTTTCAATTTTCTATAGGATCTGGGTTTATGAGATTTTAAAATCATTGCATTCTGTTTTTATATAGATTTTACACAGTGTCCTACGTTTTTTGGAATTTGGGTTGTAGCGGTGCACTTCCTGGTACATGAGGGTGCTTGAGTACTGTGCCTACAGCCTCATTGGTATATCTGTATCATGGCTGTAATTGCTAGTCTCAGGAAAAGTAAGACTGTGCGGCTTATGCTTGTCCTTGCTAGAGGCTATGGCCTGAGAAAGCAGAACCCTGCCCTACACCAAAAAGGCCACCTCTGTGTAAACACAGTGCACAAGAAGGCAAGGAAAGTCAATGATAGGGATAAGATTAGATGCAGAGAGTCCAAAACTATAGAACATCAAAAAAATTTAGAAATAAAAAACAGCACTGTGTTCCAGCAGCGGAACGGACTTTTCCTGTGCAGCTCCCACAACAAAATCGCAAGGACTAAGGCAGAGAGGTGGATGGATAACATCACAATCTCTTTCACCACCAACCAGAGAAAGCTTTACATTTGTTCATAGAAAAAATACATAATTAATATCAAATAAATGTTTTACATCATACAAACATGTATTTGATTGCAAATCTTTTATTTTAGTGCAACATGGTGTGGGCTATCTAGAGGGGGGTTATGCTAATCACATGCTGTTCCACACTCCTCCAGCATGTAGCCACTGTTTGATGGAGACTTCACCTCCCTGTAATTACAAGCACATACAACCAACAGGGAATGGGCTGTCATTTATCTGGAGTGTATACACCCACATGTGTTGCTGTATAGTCACATGGGCTGCACAGATAAGAAAAGAAAGAAAAGGAAATGCTTAGAAGGAAACTGAAACCGGAGCATGCTCAGGAGACGTAATAATGGCTGGCCTACACAATCTTAGGCTGCAGCAGAGACACAGACAAGGAGGAAGGAGCAGAACAGCAGGATCAAGTTTTTTTTTTCCCTTAGCATACAGAAAATGAAGCCCATAATGAGTAAGTACAGCATGTACTGATCATTTTTAATGATGTGAGTTTAATGGCACTTTAATGGTTACTCATATACAGTAAAATAATCATCTCAAAGTAACTTTTTAGGATTAAACCTGTTAGTAATTCATGCAGTTCCCACACCAAATCTAAACAGGCATCAAAACATTAAAAAAAAAAAAAAAAAAAAAAAAAAAAATTGTATGGTAAAATGTTTATCAACCAATCATATAAAGCCACAGGAAGCACCACTCCCTGCAAAATTTCAACAATGACGCCACAGATGATAAAACGCGTTTGTGACGTCATGCGCACTGACTCCTTCAGATGACAGAACGCGTTAAGAGTCAGAGCGCATGACGTCAGTGCGCACCGGAACGTGGCGGCCATCTTGTTGGTTAGAAACATACCATTTGGTTATATGGTGACTTGTGAATTTAATTATCTTTTGATGTGCGTTTAATACTACATTGTAAGGCAATAAATCCTTCTAATTATACTACACTATGAGGATTCTTTGGCTTTTTGGATGATTTTGTCCTCTGAGGATAATTCATTGTTTATGTCTATATTTGGCAAATTACCTGGAATATCTGTTGGGAGTTAATGCCTTGATTTGGGAATCCATTGAGAGGGATCCTATAGGCATCTATCTACATCCAACACTTGGAGATCACGTTATCCTTTCAGAGTCAAAAGTGTCTGAGTTTGTCATCCTAATTTGACATTTAGGCCGAGATGTATTCTGCTACATGTCTTTGGTGAAAATAACCCAAATTAGAATGTATTTTTTAGTTTGTAGGAAAGTTATAGAGTTCACAAACTATGGTATAGATCTGAATATTGATCAATCCTGAAGTACTGACAGCCAATCTAATTTCTTGAGGTCCAAGAATGTCAGAACAGTACAGATATCCCCCAAATTACCCCTTTTTGCAGAGTAGACAGTCCGACGTACTTCATAAGAGGCATGGTGAGTTTTTTGAAGTTGTATTTTTTTGTCATAATTTTTCGGAAAATGAAAAAATTAAAACAATTATTTTCACTATTTTTTTTTTTTACATACTGTCACCAGTGCAGTACAGCGTCATCATATAACTGGCATGGCGGTTAACAGGGACACTGACTGGTGACAGTATGAAAAAAAAAATATACAGTATATATATTTTTTTTTAAATTTTTTTATTATATTTAATTTTTTATTACTTTTTTTTATTTTTTTTCATATTTTACTATGAACAAAGTAGTACAATGTTACCATAGTAACATTGTACTACTTTGGGGAAGTGGTCAGTATTTTTTTTTTTTTTTTTTTTTTTTACACAATTTGCTTATAGCAAAGAATTACTTTGCTATAAGCAAGCATTTACCTGAATGAAATCGATTCATTCAGTTTTTTTTTTGTTTTATTTTTTTTGTGCTTAGCTGTGATTTGGTCACAGCTAATCACATGACATGTGCATGTGATTAGCTGTGACCATTCACAACTAGGCACTAGTATACAATGGATGGCATCATGAATGAAGCCATCCATTGTATACAACTGTAATGTGACCTGCTGTGATTGGTCACAGCAGGTCACATGGTACCAGCAACGGGAGCCGGTACTCGGATCTGTCATCGGCCGTGTCCGAGGTGCACGGCTGGTGACAGATCGCACTGCTGCGCCGCTCTGCATTAGCGCAAACTGCGCATGTGCGGGAGCACGCCAAATGGCGTGCACCCGGAGTGCAGAGACACATTTGAAGCCGCCAAACGGCCATGGTTAGTGTTGCTTCTGGGCTTAAGTAATGCCTGGCTTCTCTATCATGTGACTGCTGTGGTTGACTCTTGCAGCATTTACATGATTGGAAGGCCATCCTGCTGGCTCCTGATCAAAAGCTGTGTGCATAAGCGGTCAATGAAAGCTCGGTCAGTGTGCTGGAAGAGCACAGTGAATGCTATCCAAGCACACAACCTCAGGCCACTATAGACGCAGAAGCCCACTTTTCTTATGTTACATGGTCAGATAAAGATTAAATATCACATCATCCAATTTCAAAATTGGTAATTTATTATGGCAGCTACAAAACGTGAAAAGTAAGTCACATAATTTAAAACCATCTATCCAGCTCCTGATTCAATACAGTAGTAAATTGCAATATACTGGACAGGACAAAAAAGGTATGATAAAATTCAAATGGCCACTACTGGAACTTATATTAGGTACATCTGCAATGACATAAACGGATAATGTTATATCCTTGAAATTAGACCCCAGATTGTATGGGGACAAATTCAGCATTGCAGTGGCTTGATGATTAAAATAATCCTCACGTCAGATAGATGCACAAAAAACAGAAAATATCTGTGTTTAAACCACTTCAAGTCCGGACACTTTCACCCCCTTCCTGTCCAGGCCAATTTTCAGCTTTCAGTGCTATCACATTTTGAATGACAATTGCACGGTCATGCAACACTTTAAAAAAAAATGCTAAAAAATTCATATGGTTAGACAGATAAAGCTTTATTTTGGTGGTATTTATTCACCACTGGGATTTTTATTTTTTTTGCTATGTAAATGAAAAAATCCCAAATTTTTTTTTAAAAAGCGTTATTATAAAATTTAGCAAATAAAATATTTCATCAAATCTTGGCCAAAATTTATTCCGTTATCTTTTTAGTAAAAAAAAAAAAAAAAAAAAAAAAAAAACCCCAAATTAGTTTATAACCAAAAATTATAAATTTTTAAACATTTTTGTTTACATTTTAGATTTTTTTTTTTTTATATACTGTCACCCTAGCATTACAGTGTCACCATGGTGACACTGTACTACTTGTGGGGGAGATGAAGATTTTTAACTCGGATTGATTTTACAGCCATAAAAGGCTGTAAAAGCAATCGTTTCTCCTTCTCTCTGGCTGCATTCTTTCAGCCATTGAGAACTACTGTGTGAGCTGTGATTGGTCACAGCTTGTCACATGGTACAAGGCTGTTGTGAATGGCCCTGTACCATGTGACCTCTGTGATCATTCACAGATTTCATAAGTAGTAAGCAATGATGTCAGAAGTGACATCTTGCTTACTACTCTGCATGTGATCATTGACTGGCCAATCACTGATCACATGTAAGACGTCCGGAGGACACAGCAGGCACTGGATTGTGGTGCTGCACGCTCCCAGGGAGCGCGCACAAGCAGGTGGGCGGGGAGGCCGTTTATAAAACAGACACCTGACTCTGCACTGCCACCGTCTGGCCGTTTATATACAACGGCTGGACGGGAGGTGGTCAAAAAACAAAATGGCTAAAAAAAAAAAAAAAAAAAAAAAAACACTCGGTCAGCAAAAAAAATGTATAACAAATTGAAGAAAATCAAATCTGTAGCCAGAAAAAGTTCCAAACACACAGATTTAGCACCAAGAGTAGGAACCAGCGATGGCTCACAAGTCACAACAAGCTGCTATATAATTTAGTCCTAACAGCTTAAAGTTATTGTAAAGTCAATTTTTTTTTTTTAAATTAAAAACACACTATATACTTACCTGCTCTGTGCATTGGAATTGCAGAGAGCAGCCCTGATCTTCTTCTCAGGTCCCTCCACCGATGCTACTCTGCCCGCTTCCTTGCTCCCTTGTCACAGGATTTGACTGACAGCAGTCAGAAAGCCAATGGCTCCAGCTGCCCCAGCAAAGCCTATGAAAGTAAGAAGAGTTGCAACAGATGGGCACAGCACTGGATCAAGTGAGTACTTGGGTAAGTAAGGGGGGTTGAGGGTCATACAACTACCTAAACATTTCTTACCTTAATGCATGAAAGTAGAGCCTTTTCCTTTTTTCCCCTATTTATACTTACCTAGGTGGATGCATGCATCTGTCTGTCCCCCCGCCGGCTCTAGGTGTGAGAACACAGCTATCAGATGACCGCCGGGTGCTCACAGCCACTCTGGGCAGAGCGGTGACTGTCAGACATCGCTATCTGCTCTGGCTATTCTCCACCCCCAAACCCCCCCCCCACCCCGTACTCACTGGAATGCTGGGCTGTGGAGGATCCTTCCCACCATGCTCAGAGAATCACCAATAAGCTGAGCCAAGTGCCGCTCCAGACTTTGGGGTGGATCTCGACTGTCGGGATCTTTCCCCAGCCTGGGACGACTGTCAGCCGACCAGAGACCACAGCCTCTCGTCAGCTGAGAACGGGTCACAGTAGTGCAGAACGCACTGCAAAAGAGCTTTGGCTGTACTTCTCCTTTAAGGTAAAAAAAATGTTTAGGCTTCAGAACCACTAACTGCAGCAGACAAAAATATAACCAATGTATCATGCATTCCAGCCAGCAAATTCAACAAACGGTTATGCAGGCAGACAAGCAGATGTTCCTCAAGTTATTTTATAGGAATAGTAATCAAAACTGTAAATATTTTAATAACCTTAGGAGGATGAATATAAAAGCCCTTTTTGAATTTTCCCTACAAAAAAAATATTTCTACAGGCATTAGTTTCTACCATTTTTCTTAAAATGATTATATATGGATAGATATGTATTACATATATGGGGAATCATATAAACACCCCTTCATAAGCAATAAATTCCCTACTGCATACAAGATGAGAAATATAATATTTTGACTTTAGATACAATGCATTTTTTTTTCTGAAAGGTTTTAAGCAAAAATGTGGCAAAGCTAATGACCTGGGTACAGGAGAGAGAGGTTGTAGCTTTAAGCAACGAAGGTTCCACTTCTTATACTTCTGAGCATCAAGCCATCTTCTACTGCTTTTTGCCAAATTCTGTTGACAGAGAAATAATATACACTCAGCAATTAATGGAATTTAAAAAGGGATACTAAGATTTTCTTAAAGCAATAGACTGACCTCCATCCTCAGCGCTGCTGTCAGTGGTCCTACAACTTGGCCAGTTAGCCCATCACTGTTCTGGTCAGAACCTGAAGAATCAAAACAATACGAATGCAATAGCAAAATATATAAAACTCAAAGAGAACTATTCGGATCAATGAAATCACATAACGTAACTGAAGTCTTGGTGTAATTTTCTACTGCTCCTAGCATGGAAGGTGGTCTACAAAATGAGTTTTGTTTTACCCCTCTGTACAGTCTACCATTTACCCGCTCTCCTATCTTTCAGAGCGGTTTATAAAGGAATGTAACGTTTTGTGTGCTTTTTGCTTACAGTATTTTTTTTTTTTTAGTTTTGTAGTTAGAGGAATGCAACATTTTACAAGAAGTGACGTGTCTAGATAGGCTGAAAGTGCACAAGGTAAAAAGGAACAATTACAACAAACAAGCTGCAGATATAGGGGAGGTGGACAGGATGGCAACGGGAGCTGGCATATAAAAAAAAAAAAAAAAAAAAAAAACAAAAAAAAAAAACACATAGGCTCCATGTACACGGGACACTTCTGAACGATGGAAACGGACTGCTGGAAAACTTGGTATGCAAATGCTGCTAAACAGAAATTCTTTTTAATCTGTGCTTATGAGTGTTTGCGTTTAGAAGCCTTTTTTTTTTTTTTTTTTTTTTTTTTTTTTTTTTAAGATAACCTTAGGATACCTTCCAAAATGCCCAGAAAGCACTGAAAAACAGTAAATAATTAACTATTTCAGACATTTTGAGAGAAATCGAGAGAGCAGAAGCAGAGAGAGCAGTATTTGTTAAGATTAGCTGTCTTTTTTTTTTTTTTTTGTGCTGTTTGGATGTGTTCCAGTTCAGTTCATTTCTGTGCAGAAATTATTGCAGCAGTGTCTTTTTTTTTTCATGCAAAACCTCAAAAGTATGGTGTACCAAGTCCATTTGAGTACCGGGAAAACACTGATGAAAAAAGGCTCTTGACAGCATCTGGAAATGGAAGATTTAAAAAAAAAATTTCAAAACACAAAAAACGCCAATAAAACGCTGTTGGCCACGTTTAGCATTTGAAACGCTGATAAAATCTACTGCTGAACACAAGTTTTCTGCGTAAAAAAAAAAAAAAAACTCAAAGGAAAAAAGCATAACAAAAAAAATATATATATGTTTGAAATGTTAAAAATAACAGTTAAAGGAAAAAAAAAAAAAAAGTCACTGAATATATTCAAGTACAGTTGATAGAAAATGGGTACAGTACAGCTTAAAATCTGCCAAAACAAACCATTCACCAAAAGTAAATGACCATGCAAGAAGACTGGCCTAAGCGGCCACCAGCTGACCTCTGATTGCTCTGACGGCATTTCACGTCTTATTGGCCACAATTAGAGAGACTATGCACACAACTGTAGTCTGGGTGCTTCAGCAGTCATAGAAATGAAACATGATCTCTCACTACAGTTTGTCAGAAGGAAAGTGGAGAGTCTGGAGTCCGCTGGAAAAAATAAGATTCTATAAACTTCAGACTAAATGTTATGTCTGGCAAAAGTCAAACATTGCAGTTCATCATAAAAACAACATCCATACTGTGAAGCATGGTGGTGGTGGCAGCATCAATCTGCGATAATGCTTCTGTACAACAGGTCTGGAAGATATAGGATAGAATGCACCAAAGTAAACTGAATGAAACCTGATTTAGTCTGCAAAAAATAAAAAACTGAGCTGAGGAAAATTGTTCTTCCAGCAAATGTAACGACCCCAAGCATAAAGCCAACACAAGATAAAGAATGGCTTAACAACAACAGTGCTAATGTCTTAGATGACCAGGTAAAAGCCCAGATCTCAACCTTGTCTAAAATATGTGTCTGGAATTGAAAAAGGCAAAGTCATCAATACAAACTAACGGAGCCAAAAGCAGTTTTGAAAGCGGAATGGGGAAAACGGCAGTGTCCAGGGCTGATGGAGACCAGTCCACATTTGTACCATCAACTAAAATACTGACTTGAAGGGAGTGTATAATTCTGCTGTCAGCAATTTAGTGTTTTTGCTCATTGCAGATCTGTTTTCACCTTGACAACAAAAGAGAATTTCTGTTGATCAGCGTAAACACAAATAAACCAATTAATTTGTTTTTTTGTAATTTGATGAAGCATGAACATTTCTAAAAAGGGTTTTTTTTTTATATAAACCATATATGATTATGCACACTAAAATGGCATGCATAATACCCTAAATACAACCGATTACCAGCTGTAAATGAAGGTTTATTCCCAGTGTGTCTCATTTAATCAAAACAATACAGAATCCTGAAACTGTTTATGTAGCCTTTCCTGGAAAAGGCAAAAATCCCAATCACAAAAGGTAACAAAAGTTTGCAGAGAGAAGGGGCCCAGCCAAAGTGACAGGATTAAGAAAGACACATTCAATTCCTCATTATGGCTAATCTCTAGAGCGAATAAAAACAGATCACGTTTTATTTTTGTTGGGTTGAGACATTGTCATAAGAAAGGTATATATGCTAGCAATGGAGGTATTAATTCTTGAACAATGTGCACACAATGTTTTACAGTATTTAGTGCTTACCAATAGGAAGGCATAACACAAACAATACGTTACACAGACTAAATAAATACACTTTTTGGGAAATTTGCATTTGTTCTGCCCCCAAAAAAAAAAAACCTGTTTGCATGTAGAAATAATATAAAAACACTCACCTGTACCTACAGCCACAACCTGAAAACAAAGCACTAGTTTTCAGGCAAAATGTTGTCTTAGAGTTCAAATGATGGAGTGGAGACTGGGGAGTAAAACCACTGTTAGGTTTTTGTAATTGTCAAAGTCCAGGTTGAGAGATTGTCTTATTTTCTGTCCTGACGACAATGGCTCGCCTCCTCTAAATGTTTGCGGAACAGCTTTACCCAAGAAACGGTCTACAAGTTCCCTTCTTGTTGGTACATGGCCCCTGACCGTATCTCCAAACTCCCGCTCTTCAGTGTCCCCAAGGTATTGCAGAAAACAAAGCACTCTCCTTCACATTTAGTGGACCTGCCCCAAGGCGATCCAGCTCTGGATGCAGGTCTATGCTATAAGGTCTGTTCTCGACATCTCCCTGGTCCACAACTCCTGGGAGGCCCTGCTGCATGAACCAATCAAGAATCCAAGAGGAAGCTGGCAGGGTTTGTGGTCCTGGCTGCCCAGCAACTCTTACCAGAGTGTGGAAAAAACCTTTTCTTAATATCGCTGAAGTGAAAAGGAGGCTCAAGCGCACTATGATGTATGAACAGCTTACCTCCATTCTAGAAGACATGCAAGCCCAGTACCTTAAGGTTTGGAGTCCCTGGATTGATAATGTCCAGACGAACATAGCCCGAAACCTGCTCTCCCTGTAACTCATCCTGGTTGCAAGTTGTGGCCTCCTCAGTAGAACCACGAGTGTCCTCTCTCTCTCTCCCCACCCCCCCCATCCCCATTTGTTTTTCTCCTCGTCTCTCTTCCCAGGCAAGTTTTCCACCTCACCAAGTGGAAGGTGGGTATACCCACCTTCTACCCCAGTCCTCCTCTCTTGCTTTGGCGGTGTCAAGAGCAGGTAGATCGAATTTCTTTTTTCCACCCTATAAGACATTTTCTTCATAGCCAACGCGGAGCATCCTCCTTTTTCAGATGAAGCACTATAAGCGACAAACCAAAGAGCTTCTTTTCTGCCAATTTTGTAGTTTTACATGACTCCTGCTAGCTGATGTTCCTTGCTACATTATTGTGAACAATATTTTTGCATGCCTTTATTTCTACAAATGTTTCTTTGGACTGTATTTTGGTTGTCGGTTTACAGCTTCTTTGTAACGCCTTGAAAATCCCAATAAATTCTTTGTGAAAAAAAAAAAAAAAAACCTGTTTCCCTCATTAAAATAAAAATGCCAGGATAGTATGAAAACCAAAATGTAACCTTTTTTTTGAAGATTCCAATTTTTGCAATAACATTTTGAAAGTAAAGAAACATGCAGGTATTGAGAAAGTTAAATATGGTGATGGTGCCCTAGATTAGTTAAAGTGGTTGTAAACCTCAGACGTGAAATATGAACAAAGCATATCCCTCTGTAGTGTGTACTTGTCTCAATTAAGAGCACTAAGTGTAATTTCTCTCTGCTACCCCCATTCTTCTGCTATCAGTAGGAGACATTTTTGACAAGGTTTTCCTGACACCAAGAGAAAAATGATGAGAAGGAGGGACCTTCAGCAGATTGACAGCCTCAGCTCTGTTCCTGTGTGCTGTGTAAAGGGGTGGTGTGTTCTTTCCCTACAATCATCTCTCAGAGCTCTTCTCACTGATGTAACTTCAGCTCTTTGCCGTCTGCTTTTCAGAGCAGAGGGATCCTGTGTAAATTCATCAGTTTGAATGGATGCAGGGAACAGACAGCTACAGATAGACAGGTAGGACTTAAGTAGGAGGTTTTGGTTCATCTCATTGCATCACCAGAGGCCAGTCACTTCACTGGGTATATGTAGGGGTTCACAACCACTTTAAGGCCTCATTCACACCATAGGTATAGAGAAACTGATGAAAACTGAAGTGCAGATTTCACTTGCAGAGACATCAGTTTACATCAGTTTTCATGCACGCTTCAAAATACACGTTGCAGACTCCTGCGCAGAAAGAAATCTCCATGCAATACTAGTGTTGTGAACAGGGCACATAGAGAACAATTGATTGCATTATGCCCTTGAAGAATGTGTGCAGAAAAACGGACATCTCTGCACCATGGTGTGAACGAGCCCTAAATGTACAGGTCCTGCACAGAGAAAGGAGTAAGGGAAGGGGATAATGTACTGGGCACATACAGTGGCAGGATGGAGCTGAAGGAGATAATGTTCAGATGTACTCAATAAGTGAGGTGATGTGTTAATATACAGGTCAAATAGTGACAGCATGGGGATAGTATGTGTGGGAGAGGAGGGGGACATAAAGGTTTATAAAAAAAAAAAAAAAAAAAAAAAAAAAACTTGTGCCACTGAAACAGAATGAATCTGTAGGTGCTGATCCATTCATTCATTCTTTCCCCATTCACAAGTACTCTCTCTCTCCCCCATTCTCTTTTGTCAAAGAAAGGGGAGGTATCAACACTGTACAGTAAACAATGCTATGTGATCCAGCTTCTTAGACCAGCTCAGTACAGTGTCTGTTTACAGAACCATCTAATCACACCTTGGAACACAGCAATTATGCAGCAGATCAGCCACCCGCTGGCTATTTATTCAGTGCCATTTAAAAACAGTACTGGGTTTCTTGCAAATGTATACATGTACGTACGCCTATTTCATCACAGTTGTATTGCTGTATACATTTGTTATTGTGGAGTTGATTATTATCTCTCTTGTATTTTCTTTGAAATTTATTACATACATATTTAACCTAAACACAGTACTGGGCAAATACAGGGCTACTGATTCAACGTATAACCACTTGCCCTCCAGAGGATTTACTTCCCTTAATGACCAGGCCCTTTTTTGTGATACAGCATGCGTTACTTTAACTTACAATTGTGCGGTCATGCAACGCTGTACATAAATTAAATTGGTCTTTCTTCCCCACAAATAGAGCGGTCTTTCGGTGGTATTTGAGATAGAAATCTATCTCAATATCAAAATGTATTCCACTACATATCTATACTGAAAAAAAAAAAAAAAAAAATTATCCCAATATGTGTAAATGAGTTGGTTTACATAAAAGGCTATAGCGCCTACAAATATCCTGGGGAAGGGGGGGGGGGAATTAATACAGTGATCAGTACTAATAAAAAGCACTGACACTGGGCCGGAAGGGGTTAACATCTGGGGCGATCAAAGGGTTAACTGTGTTGTGCTTACACTTTGCGCTGTTTTACTAGGGAGACATGCTGCTCTCTCTGCTGTGCCGGCAAAGGATTGCCCTTCGGGACCCGGTGATTGACATACGCTGCAACCAATGGCAGCACAGGTAGGGCGGTGCGCGTCCCCTACCCAAAACTGCAAAAGCACATATATGCACAAGTGATTTTGCACAGAGCGGCCACCCTGTTGCCGTATATCTGCTATAGGGTGGTAGGCAAGTGGTTAAAGATGTACCCCAGTAGTAAAGGGGTTAATTTTGCAAAATGTTTGCACTTTGTCTTGATTAAGTGCAAATCAAAGCTTTGTGTTGCTGTGCTTTGATTTCTGCAGGCAACAAAAAAACTTGCAAGCAATAACCTGGAGAAAAGTTGCCAAATTTTACTATACGGCATGTTATTTATACTAATTCAGTTTACAGATATAGAGGGTTAGACATGATCATTGGTCCTTACCTGCAAAGATCACCACTGTTCCAGGTTTTATCCAGCTAACCGGAATCTCCTGAGGCTTTGTACTTCCCATAACAACAACATTAGCTGCACCAAGCTTTAAAAAAAAAAAAAAAAAAAAAAAAAAGGGACAATTAGATTAGTTTGAATAAGAATAAAATTAGTATAGACTGCAAAACACCCAAACATCTAGGTTCTTAAAGTGCATGTCTGACCAAAAATATTAACCACAGCGCTCAGGACCATTCTATGCCATAAATGCGGTCCTAATAGCTGAAATATACTCTCAAGGCTCCCAGCTAGATGTAACTGGTGAACTTTTATTGAAACCAAAAGCCACTTAATAAATAATGAAAGCTACATAAAAGTTAGTAAACTGTCATCCTGTTACCATTTCACTGCAGTTCTAATGGAAGAAAGACTCCACATGCAGGCTTAGAAAGGAGATGGAAGAAAGCCACAGGAAGGTGTAGATGGACCCAACAAGCAGGATTGGCTGCCATGACAGGTTTCACACTACAGAGCACTTGTTCAAGACAAAGTGCTCTGTAGTGTGAAACGCGTTGTCACAGCAATCAATCTGGCTTGCTATATACACCTTTCTGTGGCTCCCAGCGGTTTCTGCTTCTTATGTTGTCACTTCCAGTGTGCCGTGCTCAAGTAGTCCCAGCCCCGTGGCTTTACATTGGAACTCCGTCCATCTCCATCTGCTTTCCAACCCTACATGTGCAGTCTTTCTTCCATCATAACCACAGCACAATGGTAACAGGGTGACAGTCTGCTAAATTTCATGTAACTTTCATCATTCACTCAGTGGCTTTTGGTTTTAATAAAAGTTCATCACTTACATCTAGTTGGGAGCCTTGAGCATATATTCCCACTATTATGATAGCATTTATGGCATAGAGTGGTCCTGAGCGCTGTGATTTTTGCTTTATTTCAATTGTGGTTCACTACCCCAAATGAAGTCTTACAGCAGATGTGCTTCACCCACATAATTGGTGTATAGTATGCTATTAGAGACTTATCTACATAGTTAATCTGATTGAAAAAAAATAAATAAATAAACCACATGACTAGTCCATCCAGAGCAATTAAACTCATGCACCAAACACACAAACCTCCATATAAAACTAATAAATTATATATTTAATTTATATTTATAAATATAATTATACCCACAGCTGATCCAGAGGAATGCACAAAAACCCCAATAAAGCAAGATCCAAATTTGCTCCAGCGGGGGGAAAAAAAATGCCTTCCTGATCCCCCAAGAGGCAATTGGATATTCCCTGCATCAACTTTACCTATATTAGTAACCAGTTATATTATGTGTATCTAGGAAATAATTCAGGACTTTTTTTTTCTTTAAAACCAAAAACAATCTACTGAGCTGGACAGAACCAGCTCTTGAGGGAGTCTATTCTACATTTTCACAGCTCTGTCTAAGAAGCCTTTTGCATATTTGGAAATTAAATCTCTTTTCCTCCAGATATAGAGTGCCCCCCTGTCCTCTGATGACCTTAGAGCGATATTAAACTTTTTTCTTTTTTTTACTAAAATATCAAAACATGTTATACTTTTATTGCACAGAGCAGCCCGGATCCTCCTCTTCTGGAATCCCCTGTCAGCGTTTTAGTCTCCTCTTTGGTGGGTTCCCCCATTGAAAGCCATTTTCTCTGCACATCATTTGAATGACAGCAGTGGGAACCAATGGCTCCCACTGCCATCAATCTGCCCAGGTAGGAGGGAGGCAGCAGTGAGAGCCGCTGCTCTTGTACACATCGCTGGATCGGATCAGGCTCAGGTAAGTATAAGTGGAGGCTGGAAGGCATCTTATAGCACAGAAGGTTTTTTTTTACCTTAATGCATAGAATTAAGGTCAAAAACCTTAAAGCTTTAGAACCACTTTAAAAGGTGAATAACTTCAGCGAGTTCACTATATGGACCACTGATGTATTTATAGATGTTAATAATATCCCCCCTTAATCTCCTCTTCTCAAGATAATAAATTCAGTTCCTCTAATCTTTCCTCATAGCACAGCTGCACTGAACTACCAAACAGAGTTATAAGCCTTGCCGGAGTTCTCCCTTCTAATCCACAGAATACTTCATTTTAAAACTACAAGGAAAGAAGGAGGTGGTCTGAAGTCCAACAGAAGAGAATGGACAAGGCTGACTTTTTGGCCGAACAGTAAAAAAAAAATAAAAAAAATAAAAAAAAGTGCTCCCAAAAATAAATGCTTCCTAAAATTTAGGTGTGGATGGGAGCTTGCTTTAATTGACATGATATATTCCACACAATATAAATGACCTAGGTATTGTAATATTCCAAGCAGTCAAATGGTTATGCAACAACTAAATACTTGACATGCAGGGTATTTTAAAACATTGATATGGCCAAGCATCTGCAAGTAAATCATATGACCTGAACATACTTATGCCTTCTCAGCCCCCCAAGCAGGGCATCAACTTGTCCACTCCAATCAGGCTACCCATAGTTTCCAGCACACAGCTGGATGTACACTTGTAACCTCAAGACTGTCCATGCTTTTCCACTCTCTCCTCCATGCAGCACACAGAGACAAACAGAAAGGCTGAGTCAGTTTTTCACCATTTTAACTGGTTGCCGGTGTGATTTCTATATTGTCAGAACTCGTAATTGATACAGGCAGATTTAATGACAAATTACAGGAGAATGGCAAACTTTGAATGCAATTATTTCTTACAATTTTGAGAAGATGCCAGCAATTTAGTCCATTTTTGGAGTTTTCTTCATGAAATGTGTTAGATTTGGCATTTTGTATCTCCACCTTTTTGTGTCATATAAATACAAAACAAAGCCAAGCATGAAAATGCCTACACTCTTGTAATTGCAAGAATTTTCTGGGCAAAGTGATGCATTTATCTGACAGAAATGCAGGGGTGCCAATATTTTTGGCCATGACTGTAGCCAAGGTCAAAAGGAATTCTGTGGTATTTTGCACATTAGATGCAGTTGGTCTGCATGGCATAGGAGAACAGGCCTCTACAGAACTTCAGGGAAGTCGTTTATACATTGAAGTCATTGAGCTCTACAAGTGTTCAGTGAAGTGAAAATTATTACCACTATGGAAAGAAAGCAGTAATGCAGGAAATATGCATCCAGATTACAGACTTCTCTCCTTTTTTACATCAGAACCCCTCTGAAGATTACAGCCAATGATAACCACCAGCTGTGTTACACTAAAGAAAAACAAAAAACAAAATTTGGCATTTACAAAAATATTAAAAGAATAGTCTTTTTAAAAAAAAACTTTGCTCAATGTCTAGACACTATAAAAAAATGCGTTACAGTCTGAATCTGATTTGCTGCTTTCCACACAGAAAAGTAACACCTACATTTTGTAATATTGTTAATCTTAACTCTGTTTATACTGTAAAATCTGACATAATGAAGGACGTGCAGTGAAGGGCATTTTTCCAACTCTAATGCTTCATTTTTGTATCCTCATCCCAATATAGGATAAATGGGCTATATTGTTGCCAAACATTTAGGGCCCTTTCACAATGGTGCACTTAAAAACGCTTATTACATCTTTAACACATTTTCAATGCGTTTTCTGGATTCCTGACTCCCAGCATGCGACTCAAACGCAACACAGGTGCATTTCTGATGCTTTTCCTACAGAAATCAATGGGAGGAGCATTTTTGAAACAGGGCACCAATGATGCAGAATGCAGGACTTTTACATAAGTGCGAGGGTGTGCTGCATTACGAAAAGATGTATTACGTTTTGGGTGTCTTTACAGCAGTGTTTTAGTGCATCAGTGTGAAAGGTGTCTAAGGCTTTTGATTAGGTTTAGTAGGCCTTTTAACCCTTTCACTGTTGGACCCCACTTTTCACTTTTACAGTAGATGACCAGACCATTTTTGCCCTTTACTTTACCCTGCTTAAAGTGGAACACCAAAAAACACTATTTAAAGTGTTACTAAACCCAGGACCCTGCATTCACTATATCTGGTCTCCCACAGTACACACAACATGGAAGTGCAATTATTTTAGTAAATATAAACTGCTAAATACCTTTTCTCATCAGCATCTAGAGCAGTCTTGTGACTTCACCTGAGCACTGATTAAAGCTTGGAGGAGTTCTCTAGGACGATGGAAATCCCCTGACCCGTGTCTAGATTGGCCCTGTGCTGATCACATGCACTCTCCCAAGGAAAAATAAAAACCTCTCTAGCAATACACACTAAACTGAGCATGTGCAGAAGGTCATGGTTCAGTCTGTCTTATCAGCCTGGTCATTTGAACAAGGAGGAGGGGCAGAGAAGAAAAGATCAAACAGCCTTTTCACACAATGCAGAGAATTAACCCCTTAGGTTCCACAGTGAGAACAAGCAGGCTTTACTGCATATACTGACTGATTTTACAGTTGTGGGTTTAATAACACTTTCATTAATTTTTAATATTCAAAGCAAATTCCCCCATTCATCCATGTCTCCATGCTTTATTTTGCCAAGAAATCATTTTGAAAAACACCCCCTGGCATTTCTGGCAGTGGCCATTTTGAGTAAGGGCAGATGATTATGTATCATTTACTTCCAGGAATCCATCTGCCCTTAGCTCAGGCACAGGCTGAGCTGAGAACCCTCCCCTTCCTGAAGACTGCTGGGAAGTATGACCTCATTTGCCAAGGCATGGAAACAAGGAAGTAACTTAAGAAAAAAAAAAAAAGTTTAAGTAAATCTGCTTTACTTTATGCTGAATGCACATTAAAGCAATCCACCGAGCTGGCCAGAACCAACTCTTGAGGGAGTCTATTCCCTATTTTCACAGCTTTCACTGTGAAGAAACTTTTCTGTATTTGGGAGATTACATCTCTTTTCCTCCAGATGTAAAGAGTGCCCCCTTGTCCTCGGATGACCTCTAGGTGAATAACTACACCGAGTTCACTATATGAACCACTGATGTATGTATACATGTTGATCATATCCCCCTTAATCTCTTCTCAAGAGAGAATAAATTCAGTTCCTCTAATCTTTCCTCATAGCTGATCTCCTCCATGCCTCAGTTTGGTTGCCCTTCTCTGTACTCTCTCCAGTTCCCCAAT